ATTATCCTTTTTGGAAAGTACGTATGCAAATATTTTTAGAGTCTCGTTGATAGAGGCGTTTGGGACGCAATTTTAAACGGTCCATTTTGTTCCTAAAATTACGGAGAACGGTGTTGACGTTCTTAAACCTATTTCTAGATGGACTCGCAGAAGAAAGTCGAAAAGCACAATTTGATGTTAGGGCTAGAAACATTATTTCATCTCGCTCTAACCCTTGATGAGTTTTATAGAATTTCAGCTTGTAAAAGTGCACAGGAAATGTGGGAAATGCTAAGGGTGACCCACGAAGGAACTGACGACGTCAAAAGAGCACGTAAAAATTCTTTAATCCAAGAATACGAGATGTTCCGGATGCAACCAGGCGAAACGATATTTGACGTACGTAAACGTTTCACTCATATCGTGAACCATCTCACCGGACTAGGTAAAATTTTTGACGTTGATGAATTAAATGTTAAAATTTTGAAATCTCTCGGATAGGAAATGGCAACCAAAGGTGACGGCCATCTCGGAGTCACAAAATCTTGCCACTATGTCCATGGCGGCGTTATTTGGAAAGCTTAGGGAGCATGAGCTTGACCTTGGAAGACTATATGAGGAAGAGGGTCAATATCAAAAGCAGAACCTAGCTTTCAAGACCGAAATTTCAAAAAGCAAAAATAAGAAAGAAGAAGAAGAAGACTCCGAAATTGATGAAGAAGAAATGAGTCTTTTTATAAAGAAGTTCACCAAATTGATGAAAGTAAAAGGAAGACATCCTTTCAAAGGTAAGGGAAAGGTAAAAGAAAATTCTTCCGTTAATATAAAATGCTATGGTTGTGGTGAAACAGGGCATATGAAGACCGAATGCCCAAACAAGAAAAATGATGAACACAAGGGCAAAAAGCAATTCAAGAAGAAAGCATATATTGCTTGGGATGACAGTGATTCAAATTCAAAATCAAGCGACTCGGAAATAGAAGCAAACAATTGCTTAATGGCAAATGACAAAATTTCTTCGGATTTTGATGTTAGTGATTCCGATTCATCCTCTAGTGAAGAAAATGACCATGATGAATTGCAAAATGCTTATAATGAGTTATTTACTGCATTTATGGATATGAAAAACGAATTTAAAGTTGTAAAGAAAAATCTAAGAAGATCCGAAAAGGAAAATGAGTCCTTAAAATTGAAAATTGCATGTTTAGAAGAAAAGGAGGTAGCTAATACGAAAATTGTATGCTTAGATGAGATTAAGGACTTAGCTTGTGCAAATTGTAAAGAGCATGAATATGATATAGATATTCTTAATCATTTGCTTGACAAAGCCGAAAAAGAAATTGATGATCTTAAGAAGAATGAAATGGTATTTGCTCAAAATAATGTAAATCATAGAGTTTCTTTGAAAAAGAGTAAAACTAAAAAGAAAAGAGTATGGGTAGAAAAAGGAACTAGAGCATGTCATGATAATAATTTATCTTGTTCTAAAACTACTTCAAATGCATGCTTCTATTGTATGAAACAAGGTCACACTTCAAATAGATGTAAAATTAAGCATTTTGGAGTTCCTAAAGGAAAATATGTTTGGATTCCTATAGTTAAATGAATTGTTTGTCTCTTTTATTTATTCAAAGAAAATGGATCATTTAGCATGTTTTAAATAGAATGATTAGGTAAAAACATTTTATCTTTTCTATTGCATGAAGGTTCTTCACTTAAAGATTTTTGCGAAATGCCTCTTAAATCGTTTTAAACAACTAAAAACAAAGTATTTTTACAAAAGCTTTCTTAACACATGTTTTTAATTGATACAGTTTTGAAAGAACCAAATAAAATCACTTAGAATGTCCTAAGAAGTGTTTTTACAGCATTTTAATCGATACAACTTGTTTTTAATCGATTAAAACCATTTAGAACTCATTATGATCGATCAGATTTTTATTATGAGCTGTCGAATCCTTTAAATCGATTAAAAACATGTTCCAATCGATTAAAATCACTTAAAGGGTCGGATGATCGATCAGAATCAAATTATGACCGATCAGAACCAAATGTGATCGATCAGATTTTAATTATGAGCTGGTCAGAATTTTTCAATCGATTAAAACACGCTTCAATCGATTAAAATCACTTAAAGGATCAGGATGATCGATCAGAATGCAATTATGACCGATCAGAATCAGTTATGATCGATCAGAATTTAGTTATGACCGATCAGAACTCTTTTAATTGATTAAAAACTCGTTTCAATCGATTAAAACAACTTAAAATTTTTTTCTACACTGCATTTTAATCGATTAAAAGACGTTTTAACAGATTAAAACTGCACTTTTAACAGATTAAAAGAATCTTTTAACAGATTAATTAAACCAGCAGTTTTGAAAATAGTCTATAAAAACAGTTTGGCTTAAACTTTTTAAACACACATTGAATATAAGTTTTCACACATTCTTTAGCAATCAATCAAGCAACTGCGGTGCAAACACTTTGGAGATCAATGATGTGTTACTTGTTGATGATATTATTGGATCAACTGATAGTTTGTTATGTGTAGAATTTGCTAAGATTATGCAGGGAGAGTTTGAAATGTCTATGATGGGAGAATTAACATTCTTCCTTGGACTTCAAATCAAGCAACTTAAAGATGACACTTTCATCTCTTAAACCAAATACCGCAAAGAGATTCTCAAAAAGTTTGGTATGGACACCTCAAAGGAAGCTAACACACCCATGGGAACTTCATGCTATTTAGACAAGGATGAATCAGGTTTGGAAGTTAATCAAACTATGTATAGAGGTATGATAGGATCACTATTATACTTAACTACTAGTAGACCTGATATTATGCATTCTGTCCGTGTGTGTGCTAGATTTCGAGCTTGCCCTAAAGAATCTCACCTAATTGCAAGTAAAACATATTTTAAAATACTTAAAAGGAACTACTCGGATTTGGCTTGTGGTATCCGTCTCGATGCTTGTATTAGTTTATTAGGATATTCGATGCTCGATTATGGTGGATGTAAAATTGATAGGAAAAGCACTAGTGGGACATGTCATTTGTTAGGTTCATCCTTAATATCATGGCATTCTAAGAAACAAGCATGTGTAACTTTATCTACCACTCGAAGCCGAATATATTGTACTGGTAGTTGTTAGTGCTCAAATTCTGTGGATGAAACAACAATTAGAGAATTATAGCATATATTTAAATGACATTCCATTAATGTGTGATAATACGAGTGCAATCAACCTAACTAAGAATCCAAGAATGCACTCTAGGACTAAACATATTGAAATAAGACATCACTTTTTAAGATATCATATCAGCAAAGGAAACTGTAAGATAGAGTATGTAGATACTAAACTTCAATTAGCAGATATATTTACTAAGCCTCTACCCAAGGATAGATTCTATGATCTTCGAAGAGACTTAGTGGATACTAGAAATAGCTTAAATTCTCGCTTAATTTGAATGATTTTGGATGATTGTTATGATTAAATTCGTGATGCAGTGATATTCATAGGTTATAATGTGTAAAAACCTTAAAAACTTAATATAGCCTCCGGAATAATCGATCATCGGAAGTGATAATCGATTATTTTTCCTCAAAACGTTCAAAACGAGGTATTCTCCTTCGGAATAATCGATTATCTCGTGAAATAATCGATTAAATGCCTCTAATAATCGATTATTTACTGGAAATAATCGATTAAAGTTGTCTAATGTAGAGATAATTGATGAATCTTCTTTTGTTATTGTCTTGATGTTGTAAAATATGATGTTTCTTTCATGCCATGATTGAGGGGGAGCTTTCTCTAACTTATGCATATTTTGAGGGGGAGCTCTTATGATTGATGTTACAGAGTTCTTTTTGATTATAATCAAAATAGGGGGAGAAAAATTTAAAGCCTATGATTCAATATTAAATGTTATCTGGTATGTTTAATGTGTTTGTTAGTATGACAGATAAAACAGGTTATTACAAGGGCTTTAAAAAGATAATTTTGATCATCATCAAAAAGGGGGAGATTGTTGAACATTCAAGGACTTGATATTGCAAATAATGATCATGAAGAATGTTGATTTTGATGATGATCAAAGAGCTTAAAGACTTAGAGTATTGAAGATTGATGATTTCTAAAAAAAAGAACAACTCTTTCCATACAAAAGTTAAGTGCTGTGAGTGCCAGAGAACTGTTTGTTGCAAGGAAAGGGGGCTTTTGGAACCCGGTGTGAGGCTAGAAGCGATAAGAATCACTAAGTGGAGTTCTTAGTGGATTGTGTGCTGTGCCGTCTCTGGGGAAAGCTGTTCTTCATCTCTTGTGGGTTTCAAGAGAGGCTTTTGGAAACCTGCGTGAGGCTAGAAGCGATAAGAATCACTAAGTGGAGTTCTTAGTGGATTGTGTGCTGTGCCGTCTCTGGGGAAAGCTGTTCATCATCTCTTGTGGATTTCAAGAGAGGTGTTTTCGTATCTTTATCTTTTCATTTGTAATCTGTTTGTAACAATTTGTTCTTAGTGACATCGTTAATCCTCTTTTGAGTGATTAGCAACTGGACGTAGGGTCTTTTGATCCGAACCAGTATAAACCCACTGTGTAATCTTCTCTACTCTTCTCTATTTACATTTACACAGTTTTTTAATCGGTAAAATTTGGGGAAAATTTTGAAAACCTAATTTTTATTAAGAAACCAATTCACCCCCCTCTTGGTTTTTGTCCGACCACGCGAACATTCCGCTGCGCGATTCTAACATATTTTACATTAACATCATTTATTTATAAGTGATGATCTATAAAAGTTAGTTAGTGAAACAAGGTAGAGCAATTACAAAGATACTACATGGTAATGAAAATACAGCTTTACCCTAGTGACAAGACAAATGTTCAATGTCATCAAAGAATGAAAACACATTTCTAAATTTGTTCAACTAGATGTAGATAACAAAATTCTCAGTTTTATCAATAGTACAACATCGGTGAAGTCTTAACAGAAGTGAAAGAGTAGTAAGAGGTGATAGAGTTTAAAACGTGTTCTGTGGATTAACCCTTCTTCTCCCTTCTCGCTTGTAATATGGAGTTTCATCTATGGTTCTCCTCACGTAGTCCACAAATGGTTGAGGTGTTCGAGGAGACATGTCATTTACAGCAGATTGGGTGCTTCTATCAGGAGTTGTGGGTGCTGCGATGCTTGTAGTTGTAGTAACTGAAGAACTTGTTTGCCTAGATGGTCTCTCCAAGAAACGTGTGAAGATAATGATAGATAAAATCAACAGCAGAAAACACCCCAGGATGCTTCCCCAGAAAGCTTTATTTATGGCTATGCTGGATGGTGCTGTTTCCTCAGGTTCATGGTTGACATCTATTTCCACACTCTGGCCTGTAGTATAACAGGGAAGAAAAAGATTAAACTATGGGATGTCGCTTTAATTTCTAAAAGTAATAATTGGAAAGAGCCCATCAATGTGCAATTTGTCACCTACTTTAGTCCAATATTCAAGAAATTGAATGTCTAAAGTGATAATATTGACATGATTTCAATTCAATGACTAGAGTGACAATAAGTAGTTAACTTTAGGACAAAATAATAGCAGATTTATTTTAAATTCTCTCCTTTCATGTCTAATGTGTATGTGACTGCACTTTATGCATTCAGACAATAAAAAATGAACTCAATATTCACTTATAATCTGTTTCAATAAACTTCTCTACACATATTAGTATCTGATAATAAATCGACTAAATGAAATAAATTTATCCAATAGGTTAATTTAAACTTATACATAAGCTAATTTAACTTTATTCAATAAGCTTACTTCATGTAGTATGTCCAAATGTTGATTTTAACTTATGGGAGATGTTTGTTTCATTTTACTTGTTTCTTATTTATAAATGTTTATCAAGAAGTTTATCCAAACAACATTGAGTCTATTCCCTTTCGACAAAAAAAATAATTATAAATGCTTCATGAATATGTAACCATTAGCTGGGAGTGTGATGAGGATTTTGTCTTTGAATCTCTTGGCTTTCAGAAGTTTGACCTGGAGACACAAACAAGAAAAATAAATTCAAATGTATTTTAAATCCAAAATCAGAACATTTAGTGCATATCTAGCAATCGGATCAAGAAAAAACTACCGTACAATAATTTCAAATTTAGATTTGAGTAGTGATGAAACCATTGAAAGTACTCACCTCATACCGTGCAAACCCTCGAATGCCAATATTTTCTCTATGGATGAGACTGATCATAATCAAATCTCGATGATGCCAGTGAATTTCAACATCTATAACAAAACAGCCAACGGGTTTAACCTTACGTGTTGTAAGAAACAGCAATAAATTTTTGTAGCAACCTTGCACTCAACAATTAGTAAAGATGATAGCTAGGAATAACCCTGGGGGAACCATTAAAATGATTTACATCACCCATCAAAACACATAATTTCTCTTTTTTAAAGCAATTTCTGACAAAAGTATTGGATAATCAAGCAACAAAACGAGGTAATCACACAGGAAAAAAAATAAAGATATGTCATCTTACCAGTATTTCCCAAGATAGTAATGCAAGTTTTGTTAGAGCCTCGTGTCAGATTTAGCAGCAACGAATTCTGAAAAGGGGGGGTATTTAACATCATGGATTAATTTTTTATTTCACAATTAGGTTGGGCAAGGGGTTCAATGAATTTGAATTTTCGCACATCAGGGGCCTAAATAAAGGAGAGCAAAACTGATCTAGAATCCAGATCAAGTACATAACAGAAATTCAACTTCATAAATCAACTACTCTTGCCTCATTCTGACATGGAATTTCAAAAAGGAAAGAATCAAAGGATCCACACCTTGCTCATCTCCATTATAGAAAATCCTCCAATAAAAAGTGCTGAAGCAGATCCAGAAACATGTCCGTGTTCAAGAGAAGCAGAAATGGAGAGTGATACATCCGGTCTCATGCCTTCAAACTTTGGTACTGAATGCACCAAATGCTCTGGTGAGTAAGGGAAAAATAAGCAATATGAATTGCCAGAGTCCTGATCCAGCCATGGCTTCACGTACCTTCAGTAAACGAAGGTAGAAGATATATTTAAGAATGAAGAGTTCATTTTAAAGAATCGTATGAGACTAATGAATTAAGATCTATACCCCACATATGGCGGATCTACTCTACAATTGAATAAAATTCTCTTGTTTTCTCCGGGTGCACCAAGGGATTCACTGTAGGAATTACTATGAAAATCTGAGTCAGTCAGAAAAGTAGGTTGATTTCATACCAATTTAAAGTCTCTAGAGTTATTACAAACCTGAATTTCAAGGAGAAGTTGTATCCTTTCGAGGGGTATGGGACATTAGTTAACATCTCTTTTGGACCATGCACAGAAATATAATCTCCTTTCAATACTGTAATTGTTGTTTGCAGTTTTGATCCTCCGTAAGAGAAAGATACTGCTTATAATAACATTCGATGAGGGAGTTAAATATTCAATAATTGTTTATAAAGAAAAAATTCCAATAATGACAATTAAAAAGTTCATTTTTTGTACTTAAATCCAGCACCTTCGGCTGAACCTTGCCCAATAGCTTTGGCCATCCCCGATAACGTATCAACTGATACTACACTTCCATTTGTGGTAAACCACTGTCCAGAAACTGTATCACTCAAACCTGAAAAACTTAAATGTAGAATGCATTATCACTCGTGAATAATTTGGTAAAAGGAAACGATTAAATGGCCTGAACTCAAACTGAGTCAAGCAATGGAAAATAATTGTTCATGAGAAAAAAGACATTGTTGGAAAAATAAATTAATAGCAACCACTCAAATTGACCACACCTTTTATGCTTAAGTTAAGAGGACTTCCTATGTGAAGAACTGGATTTTGAGGATATATATGGGCACCCACTCTAATCTGCACAAAATGAAAAAAATAAAAATAAAAAAAATCAGATAGTGAAAGAGGACACAAGAAGTGAGGAAGCAAGATGAATGAATACAGAGAAGAATAGTGAGAGTAAGATGTATAACTTCCATAAGGTAATAATGAGAAATACAAGGTGAAGAAGCATATATCATGTATATGACATGTTGCATGTGTTACAAAAGATATTAATTCTAATTAAATAAGAAAACAAGTCTTGATGTAATAAGGAAATCTAGGATAATTTGATTCTTTTTTTCAGAATCATTTGTTAAAATAATGTGAAAAGCTGTTTACAGAACAAAAGGAAAGAACAAGTTTGGTAACATGATTGTGAAAAATATGGAGGGAAATTAAACACTTGCGAACAAAATATCAATGCTTCGTGATTGGTGGATGATACTAGATTTTATTCTAAGATTGTTGTAGCTAAACGAGTTATTTATAAACAATATATATATATAAAATCAACATGACAAAAATCTCAATTGAAAATTAAAGGGTAAAAACATTTCTGTTACAGTTTCCCTATAATAACAGTCCTCACAATATAGCTCTAAATAAGAAACATATATCTTACTAGTTTAAATAACTAGTTAAATCTTATAAGTCTTGCATTCTTTATAATATAATATGTTTTCTTTTAATTTCCTTTTAATTTTTCTGTATAGAAGAGTTGTTTAAGCTGAAAAAAATACTTTTTCATTGTGACATAGTTAAAGAATGTTGGACACATCGATGCTCTCAATGTTCAATGTCTCAAAGTTCAACATGTCTCAATGTCCTATCAAAATGTCTCAATGTTCAATATGTTTAAACTCAAGTTTGGTGGGTTGATGCTCTCACCAAACCCCTTTCTCCTACATGTTTCATGTTTGTAACGGACAAAATCAATGTGATTGTTTTTTTCTGAAAATCATCAGCAACCTTGGGTTTGAGGCAGGGCGGGAGTCGTGTATCTTTCTATTAGTTGTTAAGCCTTTAGTTATTCTATTTTTATGACTGCTGTACATCTCTCTTTATTCTATATAAAGAGACTCATGTAATTCTGCTCAATAAGGAGAATTGATGTTTTCTTTCAGTTTTACTTTCTATTACTCTCCTAGGTATTCAGAAGAACTAGACTCTCCCATCTTACCTCTCACAAGTCCTTACTGGCCCTGCTAATCCTCGCTATCCCTTTTCAATTACTGAATACAAGTAGTTATTCTATTATTAAGAGAATTGAACTCTAATTCTGATTAACCTCACTCTTCCTGACCTAGACCCTACCACATTTTATATTATAAAGAACAATATATTTTACTTAAAATGATAACAGAAAACCAACCAATGTCGCCTTTTTTTTTCAAAAACTACATATGGTAATATTTTTAAATAATTAATTTTAGCAAAGAGAAAAATACACTAGAACATAATGATCCGTTATCGCACCCAGGAAGCAAAAGCTACATGGACAGAATAAGTTAAAAAAATTATCATTCAAATTCTCTCCAATACTTTTCATTTTATGATGATTTCAATTAACATATCACATGCATGGCTACAGTGGAAATGTTATTAACTTGATCGTGTTAGATGGTTATCATGTCTAGTGATCATTATGTTGAATCTAGGATTTTGTTTCCTAGAGGGAACATAAACAAGTAGGAGAGAGAAAGTCTTATAGAAACTAGGTATCTTATTGAAAAGATATGGGGAGGGTAAACCCCGATTACAAAGAAGCACAGCTGCAGGGGTATATACCTTCTAAAGCCCAAACTCGCACAAAAGACAAAATATGGTCTCTCTCAACCTGTACTTGAGATAAATAAAAAAAGAGAAAATATGTTTTAGAGGGCTTAAATCTTTCTCTCTTAGGTTCTGTTATTTATATATGCAAAAGAAGAGATACAATCAATGAGAGAAAAGAGTGTAAAACAAGTAAAGGCACCTCTAGGTGCAGACAGGTACAGTACAAAACAGTTTTTTAATAAGGCCTATTCTGTCATTATTCAGAGGCAATATACGCTAGCTCTTCTAATTATTCCAGCCCAGCTAACTAACTTTCTCACTAACTGATAGTAAGCAATGCTAACGGATATCTAATATTCAATAAACTTTAACAAGTGAGACAGACCTGCAAGATAAACTTGGTTCCGAAAAGTAAATCACCTTGAACAAAATTATATGCCAGTTTAGGTGTATCAGGCATCAGAATGAAATTATTTCTATATTGTCATTAAAATATAGGTTCTAAATTTTAACATACAGCATAGGAGATTAAGATATGTAAATAGAACAGTATACTAAGTGCAGATTTCCGGGGGGGAAAGTATCACTTACCAGCACATAATCTGATTTTTGCAGATCTTCACTAATTGCTATTCGCACAAGAGCTTTACCATGCCTAATCGCCTTCAACCATCAGTAGTCAGGACAACAATTCAATAAATTTACATAGCTGAGCAAAGCACTATCTCAGATAGCAAACTGAATAAAAATACCAGAACACTATAAATCTGCATAGACTCTATACGAATAAAGTTTGTTCTATAGCAATGCACTCAGAGATAGGTTTTCTTCTCTGTTTGGTAGAGGTTTAATAGATGAGAAAGAAATTAGACAAGGAGAGAGAGAAGTAGCTGAGAAAGGAGAAATCTCCTAGTTTGGAATGAGAGAAATAGGTGAGAAAGAAGTAAAAAGGATAGTGTGATGAGCCTTTTATCGTAGTGAGACCTGCCACTTTTCATTTTTTTGTCTTCTGAAGTGTAAAGAGAAAGATCAATATTTTGCATATTTCCTAACATGGCCTTATTATATCTATTCATAACAACATATTTCCTTCCATTGTGGGTCAAAACATTTTCTTTCTCACACCAAACAAAGAATTCAAGTTGAATCACAACGATGCATAAAGTTCACTAGTTAAGCCTGATCATGATAACACAATTTTGGCTTGCCTTTGTTAGACCAAAGCCATTATTCCAAGATAAAAAGAAACGTCATGGTTCCAAAAACCTATGATTGTGCAAGCTGTAAGTTCTTGTGCAGCTAGTTGCTCCAAATTAAAAGAACAAGACAACCAAGAAAGATAATCCAATAAAAGTCATCAACAAACCTTGATATGGACATTGCCTTTTCCATCAGCTGTTTTGTTTACATAGAGAACATCAGGGTAGTTAGTTTCAGCAAACAAAGCCACTGCATTGTATGCCTCGTGGAAAGGATTTCCTGTTGAACCATGGTAAGAGACAATAAAACATTACCACTTTTCAGTTTGAAAGTTCCTCTATGTGATTCATTATCAAGGAGGCATTGATACCTAGAGCATCATAAAAGCTTGTTGCAAGATCAAGTTCCGCACCAACAGCAAGATTCATTACATTGAGGAGAACCTCCTTACTGACTATTCTAATTTGAGTCACCTGATCATATTAAAAAATTTTATGATGTGAATTAAATTTTCAAACAAATAACATACGTCCAGAATGTACATAGCATGGTTAATAAAATAGGTACATATTCTGCTGCCAACAGACAGGCAACAAGAGGAAGTGAGGAAAATGAATATTCGATGATTTATGGATTGACCATTATGAATGGACCAGAAACAAATGATTAAAAACCATTTATGGTCCACTAAAAATGTCTTAAATAAATTCAATCCATCAATGACTCGTTTAATAAATAAATGTGCAACCAATCTATTTAAGATTACTCTCTCCATCTTTTCAAATACTTATCTACCTCTTTAAAATTCATTAAAATCAACCTGTGTTTACTTTGCAATGTATTTATTATATGCAATATGGCAGGCGCCCAGACATATATATACTATAACATTTACATATAAATACATTAGTTTTTAAATTATTACAATAATAGAGACAGTTATACTACTGCTGTACATAAATAAAAAAGAAAACATATTTTGCATAGTAACTATACTCTGATAAAGGAGAATAACTATTCTCAGCACAAGGCTAAAGCTCTCTAGCATGTTAAAAATTTAATGCAACATAGTACAGCTATCTCTTACCACAATGAAAACAGTGTTCAAACAAGGAAAGCATGTTTAAAACCATTTATAATTTAAAATATCCTTAGTATGAAGTATCAATCAACATCAAAACCTGTAAAAAAAGTCAGCTCAAGCAGAAATCAGCATGCCCTAACGCTGGAAGGTTCTCTCATTAGTCTCATGCAAACACCAAGAAGTGGGCCCAAGTAAACAGTAAGTGAAAGATTATTCCATACCTCAGCAACCTTGACACAAGAGGCAATCTCTGTTCTTCCTGTTGTACGATCTTTAGCCTGAATACAAGCAAGACTACTACTTTTGGTTGTTTTAATTTTATCCCCATCAATGAATATGGCATCTTTTTGCAGAGCTTCATTTTTCTCCAAACTTCTCAATAAAGAATAGCTGATGGATCCCCTGCGATTTGGACTATCATATCGTGAGTAGGATTCTGACGATGAAGGCAAAGGGCTTGTCATTGTATAGTAAGGAGGAAGAATCCAAGTTATGGGGACTCCCAAAGCCAGTGGAAGATCAGGAATCACTGTTACTGATAAAGATGAACTGTAAAACCATGACTGTGTCTTTGACCCAGAAATTGAAAGTTCGCATGAGAAAGACACAGCAACGTTGGTCTTGCCTGCAGATCTGGAAAAACAAGAGCATTTGGAACTAAATCACAGATTCCTCAACTCTATTTTTCAAATTGTTTATAAGAATTTCTACATTGACATGTTGTCAACCCTGTGTACGACAAGAGAACCACATGAATCTTAAAAAGACTATGCCCCGATGATACATGATAACTGGAAGTATAATAGACCATTATTTGGATTTAGACATTTAATAATTACATAGAAAAATAAAAGTGAAAAAGATTTAGACATAGATATGATACACTAGTGGAAGGTGGGAGTAGTTACAGTCTAGCAAGGACTCAAGCACTATTACACATTGTTTATTACATGTTATTCTTAAATCTCGAATTAATTAATACCTTCCATACAAGACATTAACAAAACCAAGGTCGTTCTCGTCGAAATAACTATTAACTTGACTTCCTGCCGAAGCAGCGAACTGGATACTATCCCCGTGCAAGTTCTCTGGAACCTCGAAGCTCAATACCTATAGAAGCAAAGACAGAATTCTTCAGACTACATCTGAGTATTATTTATTTAAGAGAACATTGCCTGACTGAAATATATATGGAGTCCAAGGACGGACAGATTAGTAGTCTCTTGAATTGACAGTTTTAAACCCTGGTGTTTTTTTTGGTGGAAGGGGGCATAGGAAGGTTGTGCTCTTTATTAGGGGTATAAGTGGGTTGTATTCAAACTATGAACCCAAGTAGACTTTTGAGAGTTGGGTTGGGTTTTATTTAGTGTATCCAATTAAAATTGGATTGGATAATAAATTCATGAATTTCAAATCCGACTCAACCCAACTACATAATAAATATAATATAACCATTATCATCAAATAATAATTATTAAGAAACACTGGAAATATTTATTGAGTTTTTTTTTAATAAATGATTTTTATACTGACTTAACCGGAGAACTTAATCCAACCCAATTATAATTGGATTGGATTGGCTTGCTACATAAAATTGTAAATCTGACCCAACCCAAACCAAATAAATTTAATTGGGTTGGATCTTAGATTAAACTCAACCCAACATGGGCCACTTACCCCCCTAATCTTTATTTCCCACTAGAGGTTGGGAAAATGTATCATTTTTCCATTATATGATTTCTCGAGTGTTGAATGTTATAGTTTTAGCCACTTTTGATAACCAAAGTAGCTGAAACATTAGCCGTGGTAGCTGTCTTAGTCACAAGGTTGAGATATGAAAATAAGGTTGACTACAGCAATATAAAAGAAAATAATATTGTTACTGAATTGAATAAGCACATTCTGAAGTGTTAGTAATTCTTGATTACAGAATCCTATATATAGATCGGAGAATTACTAACAGATAGACAAGTACATGTAAGTTACAGCTGAAAACAGACAGTCAGTTATCTAACATGATACACTAGGTTTATAATTGTGGAAAAAAAGGAAAACAACTGTGATAGCATGGTGAGAAATGCAAGGTGGATGGTCAGATAGTTCCCGATTGGCAGATCCATTAATAGTAGCACAAATTTTGCTTAGTTTGAATGGTCTATATATAATTTGATAGAAACACTCAGATACAGTAACGACAAGTTTCAGGTGGAGCTGTAAGAAGCTTTGTTTTCAATCAGTTGCTTATTTACTATTTAGAACAAACTTACCTTTAAATTCAAAAGTTTCTTTCTTAGTATTTTTTATTATTGTAATATGATTTTTAGGCCATGCAGTATTTAAATTCCTAAAAGAGTAACTTCGGTATACTGTGTGTAGTTGAGTTGCTCTGTGTTGGTGCTCTGTAATGCATTTTAGAATGAAAAGATAAATTTGAAAATAGCCAAACCTTTTCATCTTCAATAGTCCACTGGTAATTTTTACATAGCTCATAGAAAGAAAACAAATTACCCTGATAAAACCAAATAAGTCAATATTAGGATCTGTAATACAATAATACATAAATGAATGGAAACACTATCTTAATTTTAACAGTCACCTCGGGAAATAACGGATAAATTGGCAATTTGCAGCCAATCCCAAGTTGTTCACTCTGCACATGCAATGTGACAGTAGATGGAATTCCCACCCTTAACATACTCCGTGCTTCACAAATCACACTATTACCATTTACAAAGACACTGGCAATAATCGTCTGACAATAATAATATCTTGGATTAGTCAAATATGTTCCACCAACCATATATGATTAAATGTAAGAGACATACATAACGCACAAACTATTAAAGCAAAAAATATAAATGGTATATCTGAAACAAACGATTGAAATAATTAGCATATGCATTCCAGAAAAAATAACTAAAAGAAGAGTAAATGTGAAGTAGATACAGTATACAAAGCAAAATCAGAAAAAGAATACTGATGAAGATTCTCGACCCAAACATGAACACAGCTTTAAATTGAGACAATCAACACTTAAAAAGTTAAAGTACAGCTAAAAAGGGATTGGAAAAAAAAAGGGTTAATGAAACAGACATGAATTAAACATGTACAATTCTAGGATGAGCCGTATAACACAAAATGACCCCTTTTCAAGTTTGTATTGTGAAAGACCAAGTATCGTAAAGCTAAAGCCATTTGGTGAAGACCCAAGATTGGCATAGAGATATCCAACACATCCCTTTCACAATAGTTTCAGCCTTTTGGGCTAGAACCTGAAGTGTGGGTAACACAAAAACCTAGTTTGTAAGTGCAAATTAATTTAATTACGAAGAACTGTTAGAATCTGTTTTATTAGTTGTTTTATTTCTGTCAGGATTTATGTTTTATTGTTTCCTTATTTAGGAGATTATAATTATAGTGTATGATGGTATCCCTGAATCATAGGGATTCGGTTGTCTAGGTGCTATTATTATACTTCCTAAAATAGCTTTCTAGCCTTGTATATATGAATTGTATTCTCAGAATAATGATATTGCGGATTCTACCCTAAATTATAAGATGGTATCAGAGCTCTCAAATTCTGGGAGCCTCTAACTGCGCACAACAAAACCCTAGATGGCAACCTTCATTGCTGTCACCGTACCTTTCAGGACAGCCTTTATTATTGTCGCAAACCAAACCCTAGACGGCAACCATCTTTGCTATCAACCATCCCTTTCAGGACAGCCTTCATTATTGTCAATCGTTTTTTTTTACGACAGTCGGCCTTCATTATTTTTGTGATTTGTTGTGTTATTTCTTAGTTACAGTTGCAACAATCAAATACCTACTCACTACATTACGTGGACATGGCAGACACAACTACTAAAGTGGTGAATACTGCGTCATAGAACACTCAGGAACAAGCACACATAGGTGCTGCAACAAATGAAGAAAATAGAGGAGATGAAGTAGAGCAGATGAGATCATTCCTCAACAAGTTGGATAAGTCACCGGGTAGTTGTTCTCTGGCACATTAAGGAACATTTGATAAGTTTCCTTCTTTTGGACTTAATGCCTCAGATAAAAACTCTAACCCATATTGGATACTAGATTCTGGGGCTACTGACCACATGACACCCCTACCTAACCATTTCTCTTCTTATACCCCTTGTCCTAGCAACAAAAATATATCCACAGCTGATGGCTCTCTGATGACTCCAGCAGGTCAAGGAGAAGTCAAAATAAGCCCATCCATAACCCTTAAAAATGTCCTTCATATTCCTAAATTGTTCGTCAGTTTGATTTCCATAAAAAAAATCATACAAGATCTATCATGTAATGCTATTTTTTATGATAATATTTGTTTTCTAGAGGACAAGTACTCGGGGAGGACGATTGGACATACTAGAGAATGGAACAGCTTGTATTACTTGGACCATCCAAATCTGCCACCAGACCTGGAAAATAACACCTCTTTTTTCTCTGATTCAATAAAGACCAAGAGGGAGAAGGCTACATCATCGCCTTGGACATCCTTCCTTTAGGGTCATAAAAACATTATTTCTTTCTCTTTTTCACAAATTAGATGTGGCAAGTCTCAATTGTGAAGTGTGCAAGTTTGCTAAGCACAAACGTGTTCCTTTTCCAGTTAGTAATAATGCAAGCACTTTTCCCTTCTATTTAATTCATACTAATGTGTGGGGTCCCTCAACTGTCCCAAATGTTTCTAGTGCCCATTGGTTTCTTACCTTTATCGATGATTGTACTCGTGTTACATGGGTTTTCTTAATAAAACATAAATCCAAAGTCAGCTATGTGGTTCAACGTTTTTTCTCCATGATAAAAAATCAATTTGGTATTAGCATTAAGAAGATTAGATCCGATAATGCCAAAGATTACTTTAATCATGGGCTTATTTTCTTTTGTCAAAAGGAAGGTATCATTCATGAGTCATCATGTGTCAAAACACCTCAACAAAATGGGATTGCTGAGAGGAAAAATGGGCACCTTCTAGACCAAACTCAACTCTTCTTTTTCAACATAAGGTTTCTAAAAGGTTTTGGGGGGAGGCTGTTCTCACTGCCTGTTATCTAATTAATAGACTACCTTCTAGTATTCCAGCTTCCAAAAGTCCTATGGAGGTTCTGTCCTCCTTTTATCCTAATGTGTCCACATCTAACCACCTTATTCCAAGAATATTTGGGTGTGTATCTTGTGTCCATGTCCACAATGGTGATAGAGGTAAACTTGATCCTAGAGCCTTAAAATGTGTTTTCATAGGATACTCATCAACACAAAAGGGATATAAATGCTATCACCCACCATCCCAAAAATTTGTGTCCAGAGATGTCACCTTCTTTGAGCACAAAAGTTACTTCAACCAAGATCATCTTTAGGGGGAGACTGCCAGAAATGAAGAGGAACTCCTTATGCTCCCTAACTTAAGTTTAGGACCAGAAATAGGGACTAAAAGTGTAACAACAGAGAAGGAACCAACTAAATCCACTCAAGATGGGGTTGATGTAAGATTTGGGAAAAAACTGGTTTATACAAAGGCAAAGGTCATTCCAGAATCTGTGCATGTCCAACAATTCAACCTAACATTACTTGAGGTAACTACCCCTAATCCTTTAATATACACTGAATCAACATCTGATTTTCCCAATGCACAAGAACCTGAATCCAGTTTAGCACCACTTTATGAGGGCCTAGATATTCCAATTGCCCTTAGGAAAGAGACTAGGAAATGTACCATCAAACCACTATACCCTCTAGCCAATTACCTATCGTTTAAAAGCATCTCACCTACCCATAAAGCCTTTCTCAAAAGCCTAAACACTACAACCACACCTACCTCTTTATCTGAGGCATTGAGTGATAAAAAATGGAAACAAGCCATGGACGCCAAATGGAAGCATTAGAAAAGAATAGTACCTGGGATTTGGTTGTTTTCCCAAATGGAAAAAAACCAATAGGGTGCAAGTGGGTATATACTAAAAATATACAAGGTTGATGGATCCATTGAGAGGTACAAAGCAAGGTTAGTAGCTAAGGGATTCACTCAAACCTATGGAGTGGATTACATGGAAACATTTGCTCTAGTTGCAAAAATGAATACAATTAGGGTGATATTATCCCTAGCAGCTAATTATGATTGGAACTTGCAACAATTTGATGTTAAAAATGCCTTCCTCCATGGAGAAATTGAAGAGGAGATTTACATAGAATTGCCTCCTGGATATGGTGGAAAAACAGCTGTCAACATTGTTTGCAAGCTAAAAAAGGTATTGTATGGGCTGAAACAATCACTGCGAGCGTGGTTTGGAAGGTTTACTAAAGTTATGATAGGTCTGGACTTTAAACAAAGTCAAGGAGACCACACTCTGTTCATTAAACACTCTAAGTCAAGGGGAGTAACAATGTTACTGGTTTATGTGGATGATATTATAGTGACAAGTGATGATAAGGAGGAGCAACATCTGTTAGGCCAACATCTGGTCAAGAACTTTGAAATTAAGACCTTAGGAAAATTGAAGTATATTTTGGGAATTGAAATGGCCCATTCTAAAAAGAATATTCATATCTCAACAGAAATACATCACTTGGTCAAAGAGTCTAATCCCATGTTGAGGAGATTTCCCAAAAGCTTAAACTACTTTTTTAACCCTTTATATATTAAGGTCTAAATTGAACATAATTGTCAATAGAAATTAATATTTTTAGTGAATTAAGAAACCCAGATTGTTTATTTCAGACTATAAATCAGAAAAACCCTAAGCTTCAATCTAATTGGTTACTCTTAAATGTTGCTTCTTTCCGAGCATTTGCTTGCCATTTGTGCTGCAAGAAACCAAGAGTAAAATCCACCACAAATCAGTCAATCTCTGACTTCGTAACTAGGTTTTCTGAGTCAGTTGATTCTTTATGATATTCTTTGATTTTGACTCACATTTTGTCTTGAGAACTACAGACCTCCCAATAAGAAATACTGATTAAAGAGGTAGCCAGGATCAAACTCAAGTAAACTAAACAAGTGTAGCATGCCATCTTGAACTTGTACTGTTTAATAAAGTGTTAAATAGGTAGTGTCAAGGTCAATTATATAATAAAAGATTAGTGCCAGGGTAAAAGAACATGACATGTTTATCAAGGGGGTAGCAAGGTCCAGAAAATGTATGTAATACTTAAAAACCCTGATTTGACCAGACAACATGCATTGCCAGTGTTCAAAAAACACACCATTGGGTGGTCTCCACTAAAATAAGTCTATCCCATAACAGCAAATCTGAGAGTTACAATAGCGTTTTTTTTTTACATAACTTGTTGAGATAGGTCAACATATTGTCACTGAAAGCTGTTACTTCTTACTAGCTACTAGCAACTAGGTGTAGCCTTAAACTTTCACTCTTTGTAATCATGTAGTTTCTCCCAAAAATAAATGGGTCAGCTAAAAGATACTTAATCTCTTAAGCTCCTTTATCATATTTTTCTGTCTTAAGTCTTAGTATGTAAAGCAAGGGTCAATAAATAATTTTTTACAACTACTGACAAAGCAGAAGCTTAAGATTGTGCTGTCAAAAACTGACATTTACCTGGTTAATTTTTATAATATAGAGGGTAGCATAACACAATAAAAACACTATTGTTTTCAGCCAAAGTACAAAATCCACCTTGTGTAAATGTATTAAAGCATGTGGTTTAAGAAGCATATGCATGAATGTCTATATTTGATATTGTAGATTAATTAGGTATGTTAGGATTTTATGATTCAAAATAAATTATGGAGATATGGTTAAATTAGGAATGTTATATCTGTCCAAGATTTGTAGGACCAAAAAGTAATAAATCTGAATCAGATCAGACATATTTTCTAGAAACATCTCTGTTATTCTGCTTCCTTATTTGTCAGAGATTGTTTTCAGATAATGTGTGATTTATTTTCCTTATTTCTAGTAGATTTGATCTGCATAAATACAAATTGTATCCTCTGTTATTGGTATCAATTCAGTAAGAGAATATTTCTACAGATAAACACATTAGAAGAAAAAAGTAGCTAAACAAAATAAGGAACAATAATAGGTCTAAACGGAATTCACATCATACCGTGTTCCCAATAGAACTTGCTGAGAGCCGTCCAGAATATCTATCAATACTTGCAATTTTATCATTTTCAATTTCATACTCAACATGAACACCGAGTGTTGGGCCTCCTTCCATGGTAAGCTATAAAAAAAAAAAACATTTTGTCATCATAAAACCAAGATAATAGGAGAAAGCTATGGTTTAAACTTCACCCCAGCCCAATATTGAATGCACCAAAATGCAAAAGATGTAGACAACAGAAAGGTATGGAAGAGATACACATGAGAAAAAAACTTAATTACTTGACTTGGCTCTTCTTGACTTGTTCATGAACAAGGTATTATAGGTTCCATAAATGATTCTAGACTAGATTCAATTAAGCAAACCTTGACAAATAATAAACTTTCGGTGACTGCTGGGAAAAACAAAGATGCAATTATCTTAGTATATACATGAATCCTGAACCTAAAAATAAACATATAAATCTTGATATAACAAACAAATTGTGAGCAATTATTTTCCAAAAAAATGTCAACCTTGTCATTTCCAACTGAAAAATAAAACGAATCAAAGAAGAATTTAGTATGTGTTTCTTTCAAAGTTCACATTCTCAAACTTGTAATGAATAAACAACATCTGTAGTTTGGAACATACCACATATGATGCACCAGGTAGTAAGAAAATATTGTTAGGGTGTATTTTTGGGGCTGCGTAAACTTCCACCTTAATAGCTTGACTCTGTATTACATGTCCCAAATGTTGTGTAGCACTGACCTGGTTTCAAAAAAGAATGAATAAGCTTGTTGGGTTTCAAAAAGTCCAAAGAAACTTGACTGAAATGAATATCAAAATAATAGAGGTTGACCATAGACTCACATAAAGGGTAGTAATTCCAAGATGCCTCGCCTTTATTTTAAAACTTGGTGCATTAACATGGCCACCAACAAGACTTGAGAAATCGTCATTATCCACCAGCTCAATTATACTATCCTCAACGTGTACATGAAGATTCATGTAAAAAAACTGCATAACAGTTTCCAAATCAACAAATTGCCACCAAAAATAGAAAATCTCACTGACATCTTCCTACTTCCTGTAGGTGAATATCCAAAAATGACCAAGAGAATGTAAAAGATAACAGTCTCATTGACCATATTAAAGGAAGTACAGTTACAACTATGTCACCCAAGATCATATTAAAGCAGACCAAGCACAAGAAACTGGAGTGTAACATCTAAAACTAAATAGGGAAAACAATTCAAACCTGAGAAGCATCAAAACTATTTCCACCATTACTACCAGCCAATAAGTCAATAGTTTGCAAACTTCCTTCCTGTAAAGATCATAATAGCATATCATGAAGGAAAAATCTTTGTTGCACATATATTCGCTTAAAAATTTTAAAATGGCAAAAACAAGAGCAAAGGACAACATGCCAGCTCATTATAGAAATGTTGTAGCAACAAGCAAAAACTCCTCGGCAGTCAAGGGATTACATTCAGCTTGAGCTTACGCTCAAACCCAAATGGTTTTCTACCACCAGTGGGCAAAATTATACCCATTTTCTTCTTTATATTAGAGACTAGTTAATGACATATGTACTTATTATATTATTCTGTATTATAGGATTGGACTATCTTTCGTGTTCTTACAATTGTGTGTCCTGTTAAAGTTCCCCTTGCAATAAAAAAATAAAATAAAATATGTATGTGATGTTACAAAATTAAATCATAATTATTACCTCAAGATTTTAAGATTCTTAATTTTATTTATGTAGCTAATCTAATTTAGAATTGTCAAACTGGACAGCTGGACTCAATATAACCTACTGGTTGAGTAAAAAATTTGATAACCCAGTACAGCCTATACTTTAAAACGGAGTATAATTTTGTCTAATTCAGCCTTATATTAGGTCAACGAGCCAATTTTTTATTTAATTGAAAACTAAAAATAATCATAACATGTCCATATAAAATTAACTTATCTAAAAACACTAATTCAAAAAATAAAAAATAATAATTTTAAATAAAAAGTTGAAAATATATATATATATATAAAAGTTATACTAATGAAATAAATTTTAATTTAAATATAATAATTTAATATATAAATTATAATAAAAAGGAATTCACTCCCTGTAAGAATAAGAATTAAGGACTTACTTTTAATTCTCATCATTTTTATTCTAATAGTATAAAATAGTAATTCATATTAGCCATTAGATTATTATTTTATAAAACATATCTACCTAAACTAAGCCCATTTAGGTCAAGTGCTAGGCTAAAATTGACCTGAACTACTTTTCAGGTTTTTAGAGTCAAACTTATTTTGAAACCCCCAATCAAATTTATGAATTTAATTATCCTTTTGTTCTATCTCCTTTCTGAAGTTTAGATGGAGTTTGGCCAAGACTCATCAAAATATCATTTAGACATTTTCATATGGAAACTCTTGAGTTGAGAAGGAATATCGTAGTACCAATGAAAGGAAATTTTAACGAAAATGTAATAAATAAGGTTTCCAAACATTGAAGTGGAAGCATTTATAGATCATTTAGATAATTCTTTTACCTCTTCTCGTTAAACATCCAAAGAATAAATTTCTTTCACACCCAACTTTATAATTTACTTCCGCCAGGTAGATTGCAAGACAAATTGTGTTCTCATTTGACTTCAATCAAGGAAGTAAAGGAATTAATTATTACGTTTAATGAAGCTGATTCCATATGGAACAGCCTTAAGGACTGGAATAAAGTATGGAACCCATCAAATCTTGAAATGTGGAAATGTATTAGGCAATGTTGACTTTGTGATTCCAATCTTATATACCCTATTAACATTTTATCTTGTCCAACCAATGTGTGACTCGTTTCTATTTCTTTAGTTTCCAACAAGAATAATGATTTGATATGGAAATGGTGGATTAAACTCAAATATATCATGAACTTTTGATAGAAAGCAGGTTTGAGTAGGCTTCAAAGGTCGTATTCAGCTTTATTTTGATCTTTTCTACCAATTTTTAAGTAAAACCATTTTGAGTGGGATACACATCCATCCAAACAAATCTCATGTATAAGCCATTTAAGACCAAAAAAGTAATAACATTGTAGAAAAGACATACCATCAGGCTGATCTCTTTTCCTGATATGATCTTGATCCACTCTATATCCGCAACTTGAACCTGGAATAGTTAACCTTTATAAGCATTTCACATTAAATAACATCAGTTAACCATCTGACACCAATACCAAGTTGTGATGCAGTACAACAAACTAATGCAAATTTAAACTCCAATTGACACTGTCAGGTGGAAACTTTTGCCCTTAATAAGTTTCCCTTCAAAGAGTCATAAGAATGCAGAAAGAGAAGTGTTTCGTTGCACATTAATCATTCAAACAGACAAGGGAAGATAACACTAAATATTTTCAAAATCCACTAATTGATCATAAAACTGATTCAGGTACATTAAACCAAGCATTTTTCCTTAAAAATTTCAAGCTATCCTGTAGTGAGGGAAGACATAGCTTACAAGTGCAGAAGCTCTTTGTGGAGGAGTTATCCCAATGTCATATATACTCAGATTAGCAGTCCCTAATCCTTTAGGTGACAAAATCAATTGTAGGCATTCGAATCCCGCTGGTGGTTGAATAACTTCTACAACTTGAGAATCATTCGTAACAGCTTCCAAGAAACAGCTACCACCAATAATTGACAAATTTACCTGCAGTCATGTAAGATACCACCCTAAAATTCTAAATAAAATGCATTAAAAGTTAACTTCTTGAACAAAAAGCATCCTGTAGACCAAAAGCAAGTTAGACTATAATCCCTGCATTGGGACGGAGAATTTTACCTTAAGATGAACATTGAACAGTAGAAGTACCTGAGCTTATGGGCTAATACACAACCGTCGATTCATGAGCTAGATCTGGGATTGAGTTAGGCTCAAACTAAATTCTAAAATACCATTAGTGTCTATCCTAATGGTTAAGGCTGAGCCCATCAGTCCTATAGTTACCAAGCCACTCACAGATGTCTAATAAATTTCACCCTCGAGATTTCCTTTCCTCATCATGAGGGGTGCACATTCGAGATCCCACATTGATAGCCAAAGTAGTATATAATTGGAAGGCAACCGTCACCTCATAAGCTAGCTTTTGGGGTTGACTTAGACCCAAACTCACGTTAAAAGAAAGGAAAAATATTTCTATAAAAATAGGCAATCATTTATGTTTTTCTATACAGGACTGATATGTAGCTCAAAGGCCTAGGCTAAATTTCCAAAAGTTACATAATCATTTATGATAGAATAATCTGGTAAAATGTTTCTCCAACAGGACTGGGTAAACTGAAGCCTTCAGTAGAACATCAATGAAAAAATAGTGAGAAAGTACTGTCATGACCTAGGTTAAATACATAAACTATCTATCGTCTCAGAAAAAGTAAAAAGCAAACCAAGTGTACAGCCAACAAATTCAATGTGCAAACTGTATAATAATTCTGGACCCACCTGAGGTGGGGTTACCACATAAAAAATCCCTTTAAGAAAATGATGTTACCTTTGCATTAGGATTGAGATATATCAAGTTGAACTCTGGATCAACTCTTAGGGTAGAAACAAGCTGCATTGTAGCACAAATATAAAGATGAGACAACTAAAAACAGAGTAACAATAAAAATAAATATACTACTGATACAAAGCTGAACAAACTAAAAACAATTATGCAGAGAAGAAAAAACAAAAGAATGAAGAAGGAAACTTATATGAATATTATAAAAAAAACAGTAGGAAATAATCATAACTGCCCAGGGCATAGCTCCTGTAGAGAGATATTACTCTCCACCTATAACAACCCAAAAGATATTATTATTTGATGCCCCTTACTCTCCCCCCTTGGCTACAGAAAAACTAAACAATTTGTAACTTACTCTCCTTTTCTCCCTCTCTCTCTCTCTCTCTCTCTGTGCCACCTCATCAGATATTTCTACCTTTCTTCTATTTCTCCTATGACTAACTCTTCAATTTGTGGGCCTAAGGAGGAATTGCTGATCACGCTTTTTTCATCCTGTGACTCGTCTTGGACTGTAACAGCTACAAAATCCAATCATACAGAACAGAGTGCATGGATAAGATGCAGTATTGAACGTGGAACTTAGAAACTAATAGATTTTAATCATGGAATGTAGAAAAATTCAGTTTCATATTGAAGAAAAATAATTTAAAAAATTATTACCTGTAAATGAATTGCGTCTGTCAGAACATTTTTGGTTTTGGTAAACCAGTGAAATGTATCATCTCCGAAGTTACCGGCAAAGTCGGTGACAGTGGCACGAACAGTGCACTAAGAAACACAGCATTTAAGATCATGTTAGTCATCCATACATTACAATAAAATAAGTAAAATAAATTCACCACATCCTGAAATTATGCATGACTGTTACATAGCATGATATACATCATAAAGGACCCATTAAAACTTGTTCAATGTATCGCCCTACTTATGAAACTATTTACAAGCTCGAGTTTAAGAATCATCCATAAAATAGGTAGAACTTGGGAGACTGAATTTCCCTCAACCAAACTGATATTTAAAGAGTAGATTATCAGATTAATATACACCAGTCAAGACATAGCACAAACTGGTAAGGTAAGTATAGTACAAATTCACCTGCATAGATCCTTTGGGTCTTGGGTGAGAAAAGAATGACAGACTAGTACCTCTAATACGCTAACTTACATAATAGCTACTTCAATTTTCCGAGTGACTGAAGCACAGGTGCCTATCAATACCTTGTGCTGAGAGTTAATTAGAGAAGACAAGCCAGATGGTAGAGAACTACATTACTACACAATAAAGGACTGGTTGCCCTTTAAAATGGACTAATAAGTAATCCATTTGTCATCTACAAGTAGAGTGTAATTTCTCAAAATAAAGGATAGGAAAGAATAATTTAAGTATCTATCAATGAGAAGAATGTAATTTACCACATTAAAACATAGACGCACTAGAAAAATAATACATAGAAAAAATTCTTCTAGGAGCAATCTACAGAAAATAAGAGAACTTTTTATGTCAAACGAGAAATAAGTAACCACTATTCAGATGACAAAAGCACTACAAAGTCCCAAAGGCTTTATATACTCTAAAAAGGAAATCAAAATGGAAATCTAAAGTACTGGTTTATAGCACAAGTTATAGAATCAAAGCATTATTACAGTAAAATTATTAGTACTACAAACTAAGTGCAAGTAGGCAATATATAAACAAAAATAATGTTTCAAGTCAGACCATTATGAACTAGTTCTTGGGACAGAAAGCTTTCAAAAGCAACTCTGTTTGCTAAATTACCAGGTGCTGTCAAATGCAACAATAAAGCCAGACTGTAAATAAAATGACAAAATTAATAAGAATCTTTCAGTACCACTCCTGATTCATTTTGCAAGACCAGAAATCTCTCCCAACTGTTAGACTTCACTATATCCAAAGAATATTCCCAGTAAGCCAGCCCGTCACAACTGCTAAGTTCCCATCTCAAACTGAGAGAAGATGAATTTGCATAAGCCTCTCCCAAATCACTGATACCAACTGCAGATACACGAATAGTGCGCCCATTTGCAACAATTACAGCGGTATCACGAAGTCTACCTAAACTACGTTCAGCTAGAGCTGCAGCTTTAATTATTCTGTGTTCATTCACTGAAAAGCACAACTCACTTGAGGGATAGAAATCTGAAGAGTTGTGTAGCTGATGACCTTAAATCTGAAAAAAAGCATACCTGGTTCATCAGCTACAAGTACAATGGAAGAAGGAATGCTACACATCACTGACAGCCAAACTTCAGCTACTGAAGGCAGAGGATGGTCATCGCCAACCAAATTTCCACGTTTGAAATGAAGTTTCTGAGTCATTTGAAGCTATAAAAGGTTAATACTTTCCAACTTCTATGACTTTTTAAGCATATTAGGATACTTTCTATGAAGAATTAAATGCTGAAACTTACAAAGTTTCCCAGTTTTTGACATAAAATCCCATACAAATTCCTATAGCTACCAGATACCCGATGCACAAGGACTCCATCTTCAGCCAGAGCATTCTCTTCATCCAAAACTGTTACATTTTCAATGAAACCAATACCTTTGCCCCACCGCTCAGGACCACCAATGAGTACTATGTCTAAACTTGTGCCAGGTACAAGATATAACTCCTCTAAGCCATGTGACTGCTTGTCATTTTCTGTTTGAGCCAAATCAAGCCAATAACCACCAAATTGGTTTCCATCACCTGCCTGATGCACAATAAGGGGTAGATATGCCACAATACGTAAGGATGCTTTTAATACAACAGGACTATGACTGTAGTGGTGATCATCTTTGGAAAATATGGCATGGATCACAGCTTGACCAGGATTAGAAGCAAAAACATATGTCCTCGAACAGGGAAAACCATCATCTGATGGACGGAGCTGAGTATTTGGCTCTGTTTTGTAGTATAACAACTCCTGAGTTGCATTCACGATTACAAAAGACTCACTTCCACCTTTCCACTTTATCAAAGAATTAAAGGCATCACATACATAGAAAAAGGAACCTGCAGATGATAAAACAACATGAGCAAAAATTCAAAGCAGACTATTGGGGAAAGAAACTACAATATCCTCAAATATGGCATCACCATTTGCTGTTTTCATTGTCACAGCAGCTTGAAGATGTGATCCAACAACAGTTTCTACAGGGAAATTGTGAAGCATAACCATAGATGCAGGGATGGAGACTTCAACAAGTACCTATAAAAAATTGACAAAAATAAAAAACAATGTACAAAGTGTATAGACTTTCAAAGTAAATGGCAAAAAAAATTAAGCATGCATTATGCACTAATAGAAAACAAACAAATGGTACATAGAGAATCCAACAGAAAACACCTCTTGGAATATCTTATACAAAGAAAAACATCACACTATTATTAGAAATTAAAGAAGTATCTATACATTCTTAATTCCTTTTCCCTTCTTTTAAAGAAAACTGTCATCAGGGAGTAGGGTTTTCATGAAAATGCTAACATTTTTAACATTACTCAAATAAATGGAAAAGAGAAAACCGTGCAATAGGCTTCCACCAAGTGGTGTCAATGGAGGGTACATGTATGCATCCTTACCCCAACAAGCAAAGAGGGTGTTTGTAGAATTTGATCCATGGCCTTTTTGGTCACAAAATTAAAAATGGTATTTTTATAGTTTTTATGTTTTGTATGATAGGGTAACTACTAGTGTGAGAACTCTAGAAGGTGAGAATAAGGACTATCTTATATGGATAGGATTATACCAGGACCCAACCTTAAGTCCTTGTTTAATCTACTCTTGGATGTGCTTATTGGGGACATACAAAAAGATTATCCTTGTTGAAAAGCCCCCTTAATTGCAGTCACCTCTAGCCTGGCGTAGTGCAGCCTCTACTTGTATGCTTCAAGTTCATCATATGATAAACAACAAACATAGAACAATTTGGAAGGACCACAAATAAAAGCCAAGCTCCATGGTCTTGAACGCAAGACACCAAAGTCAACCCCAAACAGCCAAAATCAGCACCCCCACAACAGGTGACTCCCAAAGTCACCAACAATTCTTTTCTCGACCCAGCATATAGCAACATTAAGCATGTTTGACCAGTAATCACACATCAACCTTCACAATCCAGTAGAAAAGAAAGCCTCAAAAAGGACAAGGGAATATCAAATACAAAGCAAGAAGAAATCAACCAAATTGAGCCCCAAAAAACAGATTTTTCTATTTTTTTGGGAACATAGGCAATATTCAGGCTGATGAGCAACACCTAGATATAAAGATCATCGAGAAGGGGGGAGAGATAGAGAGAAATAAGGGTGGTAAGTTGTTATGGACTTTTAAGTAGGATCAAGTCATTAGCCTAGAAACGAAAGACTTCATTTGATCTAATTGATAGTCTTACAACAAGAATTTAGGCTTAAGTCAACCCTACAAAAGCAATTTGTAAGGTGAGAATTGTCTACCACTTATATACTATAATTTAACCATATCTCTAATAATATAAGATCTTCAACATACCCAATCATGTCAAGGGCTGGATAACTCAAAGGTGAGATTTCCAAGACTGAATATCTACAAATGGTCTGATAATGGCTCACCAGTAGGTGGCCTAGTGGGCCCAACAACAATCATTAGAATATGCTTTGATACCATCTTAAAATGAGGGTATGAGCCTTACTCAACCTTTCCAAACTGGCATGTTAGGTGAGAACTGTCCCCAACTTCTATACTATCATTGTGTGGAATCTCCAACAAGTAGGATCATAACTAGCATCCTAATCGATATATCAAAAATAAAGAGATCCCTACTTAATAGAATATTATCTAAAAATTAGGATCTGAAATCAGGATTCTGATATCAAGATCTTACAAAAATAGAATTCTGATATTAATTGGTGGTCCAAATCAGGTTTAATGGGATACACTCACTAATAAAGCAGGGACAGTACAAGTGAAATGAAATTTAAGCATAGATGCCCAATCAATATGCTCCAAGCATATACCTCGTCACTATTCTTAAACCACACAACATTTTTACACTCCATTATATGGGCTTAACGAAACAAACATAATCAAATTTACCAGATATTTTGGAATGAATAAATAATGGTATATATTTTCCTTCCGAACATTACCTCGTCATAATTTAGTGAATCATATACAGATAACACTTTGATAGTAGCTTTACCAGGTTTTTTTGCCTGGACAATACCAAAAGCTGATACAGATACTGTAGACGAGTCTGAAGATAACCATCTGAAGTCGTTCACTGTTTTTGCACAACCTACATCACAAAATGGGATCAATAAGTATAGAAACAACTATGAAGCATAAGCTAGTTCGTTCAGATTGGAGAAGATGGAAAAGGCTTCCAACCTCCTATAGCCTTTAACTCCACCTCCTGATAAACACCAGGTGACCATGGCAGGAAGATTATTCCACTTTCATTGTCCAAGGTGAACTTTACTTGTTCACAAACCATGACTTCTTGCACAGCTTTGATAATCTACAATATTTAACAAATAATGAGTACCTGACCCTGAAAAAGTACTAGAATATCCTGAAGTGTGCCAGGCAAAATAGCCTCTCTGAAAACCCAAAAAATAGAAGAAATGTGTAATAACCACATAGCAACATATGGTGCAACAACTAAAAGAGGACGCAAATAATTGAGAAAGGAATTACAGAAAAATATGCCCCAAGGGCTTCTATGAAAGAATGATCACCTCCTTTTTGTCATCAACCCCACCAGGATAGGTCAGAGAAGCTGTCAATTTTCCAAGTCCTGGTGAATAAGCCTTCAAGATTTTAGAATTCCGCCAGCTACGTTTAACAGCAATATCATTTGAAACCCAAAATGTTTTCCAGTATTGATCAGAATCATTATCATAAACCTTAACATCGTCATTCTGCAATGCAAAGACAGATATTGAAAACAATGGAAAGAAAAGCACCAAATCAGTTCATATAAGAGAAACAGGATTGATTACAGATGGGAAGTTTAAACAGAGATGTGTAACTCATAAATATAACAATTGACACAAGACTAGCAATGTAAATAAAAAAATATTAAAAACAAAATGTCATGGCCACATTTTTTAATCTTTACATCAATGGGTAAATAGAAGATGTGCCCTAATCATTTGTTTGTTATGTAGTAAAAACTAGAAAATAGAATCATGGCCAACAGTGAAAGAGTAGAAGAACTTTCTTACAGCATTTTCTTGTCTTAGTCAACTAATTGATCTTAGGTTCAATTACTGCTAGTGGTCCTTCATTGGTGGGTCATCTAAGTACCATTTTTAAGCCCTTACTTGTGGTAACCTTGGAATGGGACAAGAATGTGGGATGACAGCCTGCATGATTATGACTGGATACTTAAGTGTTTCATATCAGGAGGGTCAGAAGACTTTCAGGGCTGGAAAATCACATTATTAGACTGGGATTAATTAATAAAGCTACAAATAGAATAAAAACATTCTTCATTTCGTTTTGATAATACAAAGGGCATAGAGTCTGTTATTTGGCAAATAGTATGTAAAACAATTTTTTTAGTTTCTTGATGTTCATTTGTGTCCACAGTTTGCAGTATAAGAGGTGCACCAATTGCATCATATTTTCTTGTTCTTCTTGTTTGATATGACACGTTTGGCTGGAGAAGCATAAAAGCTTCTAACATGAGTAGAGCTTCTTGAATGAGATTTAATAAAAAATTGTGAGAATTCCAATTACAACATTCTCTCTATCAAACGAAGTTCCTTCCGACATTAGAGATAAAGCACTTTATCTGACACTGAACTGGTGTATAATCAGTAACCACGAACCAGGGCAGAGAGAAAAATATTCTAAATTTGTATCATGCATAATCCACAATAGTTACTCTCATCTGTACTTGTCCACTGCCATGGTCTAATGCACAAAGATCTCACCAGGATCATTAAACAGAAACGCAATACAATCAATGAAAAGTTATGCCCATAGTTAAACTATTTTTAGTATCCTCTTTCTTTAGTACACAATTCTTTTTTTAACTTTTTTAATTTTCTAAAAGAGAGAACACAAAATAGTAAAATTATTATGCAGATCACTGTCATCAAAAACATTAAAAAATGGTCCTAGAAATCCAACATACAAAATATATAGAATAGAAGCAGATCAAAGAAAAAAACTAACAAGGCAATATAAACATGTGTTACCATTGATGTTGGGTTATGAAAGTAGAATCATGCAAACTACCTCTGTAATATAAATCTCTTGTGCATCATGATCTTGTGCAAAAACCTTTATCTGGATAAGATATTGATGGCCAGATACAACATACCAACGGGTGGTCAGAGGAATAGATTTGACTCCATCCACTGGATCACCAGAACTAGATAAAGGTGATATATATAAACATAAAGAAACTGGTAGGACCACATTCAGTGAAGACACTTGAACATGGCCAGCAATCCTAGTATCTTCAACAATAACAGTTGTAATCCCCAAGTTCCATGCATATGCTAACCCTGTTATTGAGTCAACCTGAGCAACTGAAGCATTTGAGACAGACCATTGGTGATGGGGTGACGGTAAAGTCACCACTGCAAATGCCAAAGCAAAATATTGGTAAGAGTGTTGATAATATGCTGACCAACATTACAGCAAAATCAAAAATATAAAAGTCATTGAATCAGAAAACAGTTGTCTAAACTTTCAAACATGAGTAAACTATATCTATTAAAAGAAAGATACATTGATACAAAAAAAAAAAAAAAAATGCAACTAGTAGTTGTTAGTAATTACCTGTGACAAACTATATATATATATATATATATATATATATATATATATATATATATATATATATATATATATATATAACCAAGAATTACTAATTAGTTAGTTGTAATTGTTAGTTACAACTCATAACAAACAGAAAAGAGAAATATCTAACAATATCCAATTAAAAAATTCTTGAAATATAACTGGCTTTAACCATTGATCAGTACCCAAACTTTATACATGGTTTTACTGATTTCAACTATGGCTCTAGAATCAATCATTAGTTGAAGCACTTTTTTTTTTAATTTAAGAACAAAACGAAAATTCAAAGATGAAAAATCAGGACTTCTACAAAAGGAAATGTCAACATCAGCAAAGAATATTGACAGGACAAACAAGCAAATCAGTCCCTCTGCATGACAGAAAAAGGTGTGTCGATCATTAATCCATTCAAATACACCACGCACACAACAGCCAAAAGAGAAAATTTCTTTAGTCCTTATCTACACCATAAAAAATATATTAAAAAAAACTCAAAAGCAGGTAGAAAAATAAGAACTCCAAATTAGAAAATATCTATTGTCCTCCAAAGAGACTAACTATAAAAGTATTTGATAAGTAGATTGAAAGCATGAAAGAGATTTGTGTATTGTAAGAAAATCAACTGAAAATCCATCCGGGTTCTTCTGTTCTCTCAGTATTTGCAGAGATTGTCAGGGGAGAATGAAAGCTTGATTGCCTCACAAGAATAAAAAGAAAAACCAATAGAAAGATCCCATAAAATAAAATATAATCTAATATTTGCTTTCCAGATAATCAGAAGGTGAATGCTATTACAGTATTTTATTTTAGATAGAGAAAGAAGTTGTGGAGTGAAAAGGAATAGTGCAAGAGGATGAGGAAACCTATAGAGAATCGCAAAACCAGTTAGTTGGTTACATCCTCTATGCAATTGGATTAAATGCAATACATATGTGGAAGTGTTAGAAAATCACACATCACCCATCTCAACTCTTGGAGAGTGGCTTATATATCTATTGGACAAATTTTTCTAATGTCAATTGATTTCAAAATAAAATCTAACATGGTATTAGGGTCTATAGTTTGTCTTGGTAATTATTTATCCAGGTAGACTCGCTTGTATTAGCAGACATCTATGAAAAAAGGTATTGGAAAGTCACACATCGCCTACCTCAATCTTGGAGTACGACTTAAGTATTTATTAGACAACTTCGCTTAATGTCAATTGGTTTTAAAATAAAATGTAACACTAAGGATGCACCCGGGAGGGCTGGTTGTGGAGGTGTGTTTTGGGACTCTAGGACCTTTGTATTTGGTTTTTTTGCAAATTCTCTTGGAGTAAAGCCATGTTTACATGCAGAACTAATGGGTATAATTTTAGCATTAGAAATTGCAATTGATAAAAGTTGGAATCTTCTTTGTATTAAAATGTGATTCTCAACATATTATCCAAGCATTAAAGAACAGTAGTATTATTCGCTGGAAGCTTAGATATAGGTGATTGAATTGCTTTGAATCATCTAAGCAAATGACTCTTCATTTTACTCACATTTTCAGAAGATGGAAATTTGTGTGCTGATAAGCTTGCTGACTTCAGTTCTAAATCCCAGGGTTTCTATTGGGGGGATAATGTGCCTAATTTCTTAAATCCTGTATTCTTTAGGGATAGATATTCTCAGCTACATTATAGGTTTCCTTTGTGTGCTTTGGCCTAATTCCCCTCACTTACTTGTATGACTCTTTTAATTGTTTTTATAGCACTTGGGTGGTGCAAATGATTATTATTATTTGGGGTGCAAACATAGTGATGCTCTAGCACTTCTATCTTCTGTAAAATGGAAGGAAACTTGATTTGGGAAACCCAAGTTATCAGACAAAAAACCAACCCAAAGGATGAGAAGGGTGAACCCACCAGCTGATTCAGATATTAGTGACCAAGTCACCTAGACAAATAAATACGCTCCACACACAAACAAAAAAAAAGACATAATTTCAAAACATCATTTCTCTACTTCTACTGCCCAAACCTTTACCTAATACAATAAACAACTTCCAACATAGAACTTGAGAAAACTGGTTAGGGTTTCAATAGAGTGTGAGAAGACCCAGCTACTTTTTGTATTTATAAAGAGATACAAAAGAAAAGATATGGGCCTCAGCCCAAAACCTTAACCCTAGTCTATGGAACATACACAAAAAAAACGTAAGTTAAACCCTAAAACATAGAACATATCCCAACATCCCTAGAGCATATAAATTGCATGCACCAAGCTTGGAACATATGAACTGAATCCTAGGTCCTTTTAGGGAATTTGTTAAAATGTGTGCAAGTTGCTCATTAGAGCTCACAAACTCAGTAATGAGTTCCTTGTAATGAGTTTCTTGGATAAAAACTTCTCTCTGACAAAATGAGAGTCGATTTCAATATCTTTGTTTTTCCATGAACCATTGGATTTGAGGCAATATAAAGAATCGCCTGATTGTTACAATACAACTTTATCTGCTCATTATCACAAAATTTTAATTTTTGAAGGAGTTTTTAATTCACACAAGTTCACATGTAACAAGAGTCATAAATTTATATTCAGCTTCTACACTGGATCGAACAACAACATTTTGTTTCTTACTCTTCCAAGAAATCATATTCCCGCCAATAAATATAAATACCCAATAGTATATCTTCTATTAATGGGACAGTCTCCCCAATCTATATCATAATAACCTAGGATTTGAGTATTACCTTTGTCTTCATACAACAATCCTTGTCCTAGAGTCCCTTTTACATATCTCAGAATGCGAATCAAAGCATTCCAATGATCAACACTAGGATTTTGCATAAATTGACTAACTGCATAAGAGAGATCCAGTTTTGGCTCCACGGACTGCCATGATATTGCGCAGAGTTGAAAATCTATTTTCTCCAACTTGGACCTTTTGAAGGCAAAAAGAGAACTGGCTTTCTTTTCCAAATGATCATGATACCTCTGACCTAGGAACCACAACTTAACACATGCACACTAGGATAAATAGCATTTCCAATTGAGTCTTGCACTAGTAATGGTGGGAGTGGCAGAGAAAGAGAAGGCGTTGGTTGAAGATATTTTAACCAGAGAAGAAGGAGAACCAACCAAGAGAGAATAGCACGGGACCTAGCCCTCAAGGGTAACATACAGAAAAGTAAAGGCACCACTAAACTTGGAAGACACTGACAAGAAGAACGACGCTGACTTGACATGGTTCCAGTCACCGGATGACAACACATGACACCCACGTGCCTGGAGGGGCAGCGAACGAAGGCACGCTTAGCAAGGTTGAGCCGCGCTCCTAGAGGCACATCAAACCTTGGCTTTGCCGGTCAGTACCACTCTGGAGGATGGCAACAAACGGCATCCAACAGTGGTCAGAGATGACAGGGATGACGGAAATCAATGTGGGATCTTGCCCGCTTTGATAACAATTTAAGAAAATTGGTGAGGGTTCCAATACAATATGAAAAGACACAGTTACTATTGTATTTATATAGAAAAGATACAAAAGAAAAGTTATGGGCCTCAATCCAAAATCTTAACCCTAATCTAAGGAACAAACACACAAAAAAAACATAAATTCAACTCTAAAACATAGAACATATATCGCAACGTTAGACATAATGTATTGATCCAAAACAATCAGAGAGATCCTCAGTTCTACATAAATCCAAATAATCTAATATCATTGTGTCGCATCCAAACTACCTACGAAGGAAGGAACAGAGTCCAAACAAAACATTAACATTAGAAATTTAGCTTAAGAAAAAATGTTGGAGCAAATTTTCAAGGGGAAGGACTGCAAATTATAAGATTTTGTTAAAAGAACTAAGACAAAGAGGACAAATATTCTCCCAAAATACAAAAAATTAAGAGTCCCATCTATAAATGGCCAATTGCATTCCTAATCCTAGCTACTAATGCGGCAATTTGACAGCGTAGTCACACAGATAACAGATTTAAAACTTTAAACATCTTGCACAAAGAGTTGAATGAAAAGTAAACAACTTAAGAAAACCTTGAGGAACACTTCCCCGGATGACTTTGAGGGTGTAGGGAATGACTGCACCAACAAGGACAAGAACTGGTGAAGGAGGATCAAGTGACATAGCTTCAGCAACAGTAAGAACAATCTCATCAGCCAAATTCTTTAACTGTGGCTCGAGCAAACGCACTGACACAATCTCATGACCAATCTCAATTCCCTTTACTACAAACAGATCTGAAAACACACCCTGCAATATAGGGCCAGGAAAAAGGGTAAGATATAATATTAAATATGCATTATAATAATAACACAATGAATTAACCTGTTTAAACCAGCCAGTAGCAGCCTTACATTGTCTTCAAGTTTTATTTGTATATCTAAGTCACCACATAGTCCTCCGCAATCACTAAGGGGAGAATCCTTTAAGGGAACATTAACAAGGTGATGAGGTAATCCATTGGCTTCAGGCATAAGACTCCACATAAACTGTAAGCCAACTAATGAGGAAAATACATTTTCTGCAGCACAAGGGAAGTTCAATAATTTTTCCCAATCTGATTAAGACTCAATTAAGAAGAAAAGGTGACTGGAAATTAGCAAAAAAATTAAAACTGAAAATAATTATATCCAATCATTAATAGACAAATAAACATATGCTGAATAGTTTAATGTCTGTGCTAAAAAGGCAGAAAAGAGTAAAGTAAGCCTCACACCACTTACAATGGCAATCCTGCAGTGTTATGTCTTCTTTGTTAATTCAAGCTTATTTCTAAATTTTCAAAAAAAATGGCAAAAAGAGCATATTTTCAAAAGAATAGTTCTGTAAACGCAAGACATAGAGCAGCGCAAAATTGCAAAATCAACCATCTCCAAGAAATACACCAATGGAGTCCCACTTTCATGATCTACAGTGTGAAAATTCTAATATAAGTACAAAACAAATAAGATTTCAAAAATACCTTCACTATCAAAGGCTCGAACACGTAGCGTGGCAAGCCCCTCTAAATCAAGCTTAATAGAATTATGAAATATCTGTATTCTTGATATGTTGTCAATAAAAACTTTGCAGCGTATCACAATCCCAGATTGCAAATCTGCAGCATAAACAGCAGTTTCCTTCCTACCAGTGTAAGGGGCAATGGATCTTATCCTTGCACTAGTCGAGCACTTGCTGCTTGAATTATACTCAGGCTCAACAGACAGAATATCATGATGATCCCATGACCTAAGTATGTGCCACAAAAAACATCATAATCAACTCAATAACAATGGATAACAACCAGAACCAGTTACGAAACACCACTTCAGGAAACCAGGCAATCAATTTTTGAGATACAATTGAAAGGTCTATTTGTTCCATGTTTCTAAAAAAGCTTTTGTTTGATAAGTGTATTTTTCTAAAATTGTTTTCAGAACTTATATCTCCTTAGTTTCTAAACCAAAACATCTCTAAAATGTCTTCTGTTATCTATTTCTATATAAATTCTCAAGTTTCTGTTACTTATGTTTTTAGCGTACTTTCACTTTCAGATATCCTTCCCTTGTTTCTATCTTCTAAAAATCAGCTCTAGAATTTGTTCAATAAAATAGTTCTGAAAACTTAAATACAAAAACACCTTCGAACACACCTTAAACTTCCCAAAACCTTCTTTTTAACCATTTTTTTAGTTTTACAAATAATAACAGTTATATTATCATAGGTACAACTGAACTGAGATGACATGACCTAGTTGTTTCCTCTATAATAATTCCATTTTCAAATAAACTTAAGCAAGTGATTTTGATAGAAAATGGGAGTGTGATATGAAAACTAATGCAGCCTAAACATCCCCATGCCCTTCTTTAGCTTACAAATTTTATAGGAAAGAAGAGATGAGTCAGAACAAATATAAGACGTAATGTAGTTCGTTATACGCTTCCGATACTGTTCTCCATTCAGAATTATTGTTTCATTCCAATCGTCTGCATAATAAATGCTTGCATTGAATGCGACAGCATAAGTTCCCGATGTGAAACTTCAGTTCTCATCGAAAGACTACACCAGAAAGCACCCAACAAAATAGGTCTGAGTTTTATCCAAGTTATTATTGCAACAAAGCTTAGATAGTACCGTAGCTGATGCAGTATTACAAGAAGCTTCAGCAATCACGTTTTATGAAATATTTTGCAAATTATCGGGGTGAAATCCAATTCCAATCGGAAAACAGCACCAGGAACACAAACCCTTATGATACTACTGCAGGCATCTAAGTTTTGTCCTTATTTTTATCATACGTAGAACTGAACTGAAATGACGTGACCTAGTTCTTTCGTTTTTATTTTTCACTATAATTCAAAATTTCGAATATAAACTTGGATCGAGTAAGTGTGATAGAAAATGGAAGAGGACCATTGGAAGCAACCGTCGCTTCCTTGGAGTCTGTAATCTACTGGAAACGTCATTTTCGGCGGCAAGAGCAAGTTAACGTCGGCAATGTGGGGACCACTGGAAACAGCGTGCGAAGGCGCCACCACCACCACCATCACCATCAACATCACCAGATAACTCAGCAACAAGGTCACGTTCTCCATTCGCGTGGATCAGATCGATCATTCACAGCATACAGTCACGGATTTTGCATTGCAGAGAGTTTGAGGAATAGTTGAATTTGTTGTTGCGTTGTTGAGGTCTTCGAAGGTTTAGGGTTTAGCGAAGTGAAGAAGAAGAGAAGAGTGAAGAAACAGTGGAACGTGGAAAGCAATGTCAGTATTTTTTTTCTTTTTTTTCTGCCAAAAAGAAACTGCAAAGTTTGTAGCGACTTTTAACACCAAATATAAAAATTAAAAGAGAAAAGTGAAGTCTTTTGACGCATCGAGATTCTACTATTATAAAAAGGGTGATTATGTGAATTTAGTCTAAATTTAATAATTAATCACGTATTATTCACCATACACTGTATTAACTTGTTTTATGATTCGTGTAACGTATTTATTGTTGTATGTTTTATTTAATTTATTTTCAAATTGAAATATTAATTAATTATATTATTATTTTTTAACAAATCTAAATAATTTATACATATATTTATTGTGTTAGATTGAACAAATATTCCTATAAAAACTAAAAAATATATAAAAATATAATGAATATTTATTTTCTATTTATTATGGTAAAAATGTTTACGGTGATTAAGAGTAAAAAATGAATTGTAAATTTATTGAACTTTGAAGAAAAAATAAATTATTTCTTTAAAATTTGGACCATTTGTTTTCAATTCTTCGTTCAAAATATCATTAGAAATTTTGCTTATATGTTAATAGATTATAAATTTAAAACTTGAAAAATAAACAACAATTTTACCCAATACTAAAAGATTACTAAACAACAAAAAGATGTTTTATGAGAAAAAAAAAACTACTTAAATTAAGTTAGTTTTACTCGTCCTTTCCTTCGATCAATTATATTAAAGACAATAATGGCTCATAATATTATATTTGCCAGGGGTAACGGTATTTTAATAAATTCAAACTTCTAAATACGTACTTATTAATTGTTAATATAGATAAATTTTTTGGTAAAATAGGTTTTTTTTTACTTTTGTATTTTTTTCAATTTCATCATATTGTTATTTTAATTTAATTGTTTCTGAAAGTGAGTCAATATAATACTTTCATCGACGTGTATAATTTATCTAACGAAAAATGTTATGATACTGTAATCATATTTTATTTTGTAAAAATCAAAATAACATACCAATAAGTAATTATAATTATTTAATGTCAGGAGTGAAAAAAAATTAACAGATAGAAAATATGAAAATACAGACAAAATATAGTATTTTTTTCTGAAATTTTGTATTTAATATATTATTTATTTATTTTCTTTATTGTATATTTAATTATTTATTTTAATATTTATAAAAAAAATAAGTTAACTTTATATATATATATATTTATTTATTTATTATGAATATTATTACATCAGCAAACATAAATACATAAGTTTCACTTAGATACTTATGTGTTTATGTTTCCTGTAATAGTGTTCACGTAACATAATGTTGCGTTTTAAAAAAAAAAACTTACAAATATTGAAAGAATTAATTGGTTATTTCAATATTGTATCATTTTGTACTACAACTATATTAATTTCTTTTCAGGCAAGACAAAATGAAGATCTCTGGTACCTTGACAGTGGCTGTTCCAAACACATGACAGGTGATATTACAAAATTCTGCAATCTAAAACTAAAGAATGGTGGGACTGTTGTCTATGGTGATAATAATAAAGGAAGAATTCTTGGAATAGGTGACATCAAATGTGCATAATCAGGTATTATTAACAATGTTTTGTATGTTGAAGGTTTAAAACATAATTTGATTAGTATTAGTCAACTGTGTGATAAAGGACACAAAGTTGTCTTTGGGCAAAATCAATGTCAAATTATCAAATCAGATTCAGAACAGGTAATGATTACTGGTAAGAGGATCAACAATATTTACATGTTAGATACTAATTTTGCTAAGAACTGTTGCTTAACTTCTAAAGAGAATGATTCTTGGTTATGGCATAGGAGGTTAGCTCATATTCATATGAATCATCTAAACAAACTAATTTCTAGAGATCTTGTAGTTGGCTTACCTAAACTCAAGTTTGTGAAAGACAAAGTATGTGATGCATGTCAAAAGGGGAAACAAGTAAAGAATTCTTTTTCACAGAAAAATATTGTTTCAACATCTAAACCTCTTGAACTTTTGCACATGGATCTCTTTGGTCCTTCTAGAACTATGAGCTTAGGAGGAAATCTATATGCACTGGTTATTGTAGATGATTACTCAAGATTTACCTGGACATTTTTTTTGAAATTAAAATCTGATACTTTCCATTTGTTTAAGAAATTTGCGAAACAAATTCAAAATGAAAAAGGCTATTTTATCTCTTGTATTCAAAGTGATCATGGGGGAGAATTTTCAAATGAAAATTTCGATAAATTTTGTGATAAACATGACATCAAACATAATTTTTCTACTCCTAGAACTCATCAACAGAATGGTGTAGTGGAAAGGAAAAACCGTTCTCTTGAAGAGCTAGCTAGGACAATGCTTAATGAGAAAGCATTACCAAAATATTTTTGGGCTGATGCAGTTAGCACCGCTTGCCATGTATTAAACCGTGTTTTAATCAGACATTTTCTTAAGAAAACTCCTTATGAATTATTCAAAGGTAAAAAGCCTAACATAAACTATTTTAGAGTATTTGGAAGTAAAGTTTTTATCTTAAACAATGGAAAAGAAAATCTTGGAAAGTTTGATTCCAAATCTGATGAAGGTATATCCTTGGGGTATTCATTAAATAGCCATGCTTATAGAATTTTTAATAAAAGGCTAAATACTGTAGAAGAATCTGTCCATGTTATATTTGATGAGACTAACCCGAATATGCAGAAAATTTCTGAATATAGTGCAGAAGAAGATATTTAACTGATAAAATGTATCAGTTAGAACTGCCAGAACCAACAGTTTCTCAAAAACAGTTTGAAGAGATTGAAGAAACTGAAGAGCAGCTGCCCAAAGAATGGAAAACTCCAAGAAATCTTTCAATAGACAACATCATTGGCGAAATAAATCAGGGAGTTTCCACTAGAAGATCTCTAAATAAATTTTGCAATTACATGGCATTTGTATCTCAAATTGAACCTAAAAACATATCTGATGCATTAAAGGATAATAATTGGATTAATGCTATGCATGATGAATTAAATCAATTTACAAGAAATGAGGTATGGGAATTAATTCCAAAACCAGATAATGCCAACATTGTAGGAACAAAATGGGTTTTTAGGAATAAAATGGATGAAAATGGCATAATAACTAGAAACAAGGTCAGATTAGTTGCTAAAGGGTATAATCAGCAAGAAGGAATTGATTTTGATGAAACATATGCTCCAGTTGCTAGATTAGAAGCTGTTAGACTATTACTTGCCTATGCTGCAATTAAAAATTTCAGGTTATTCCAAATGGATATCAAAAGCGCTTTCTTGAATGGCTACTTGAATGAAGAAGTTTTTGTTACTCAACCACCTGGGTTTGAAGATCATATTCATCCAGAATATGTTTATAGATTGAAGAAAGCTTTGTATGGTCTCAAACAAGCCCCAAGACAATGGTATGAAAGGTTAAGTAACTTTCTTATTTCAAAGGGCTATCAAAGAGGTTTGGTTGACAAAACTTTATTTCTAAAGAAATTGAATAATGATGTAATTCTGGTTCAAGTATACGTTGATGACATCATATTTGGAGCTACTAATGAGTCTTTATGTAAAGATTTCATCAAAGATATGCAGGGAGAGTTTGAGATGTCTATGATGGGGGAACTTAACTACTTTCTTGGATTACAAGTTAAACAACTTCAAGAAGGAAGCTTTCTTCATCAATCCAAATACTGCACAGAACTCTTAAAGAAATTTGAGATGGAACATTACAAGGAGGCATCAACACCTATGTCCACAAATTGCTATCTTGATTCTGATGAAAAAGGAAAATCTGTTGATGAAACCAAATATAGAGGACTTATTGGTTCTTTGCTATATTTAACAGCAAGTAGACCTGACATTATGTTCAGTGTTTGTATGTGTGCCAGGTTTCAATCTGCACCAAAAGAGTCTCATCTTACTGCTGCAAAAAGAATCCTCAAATATCTCAAGGGGACTTCAAATGTTGGATTATGGTATCCAGGTGAGTCAAAACTAAATCTAGTTGGATACTCTGACTCAGACTTTGCAGGTTGTAAGCTTGATAGGAAAAGCACCAGTGGCACCTGTCATCTCCTTGGAAGCAGTCTAATCTCATGGCACAGTAAAAAGCAATCATGTGTTGCTCTGTCTACAGCTGAAGCAGAATACATTGCAGCTGGGAGTTGTTGTGCTCAATCTCTTTGGATCAAACAACAGCTTGAGGATTACGGTTTAATTCTCAAAAAAATTCCTCTCTTGTGTGATAATACTAGTGCCATTATGTTAACAAAAAATCCAATCAAACATTCTAGGACAAAGCATATAGAAATAAGACATCATTTCATTAGAGATCATATTTTAAAAGGTGATTGCGAAATCTTCTTTATAGAAACTGAAAAACAACTAGCAGATATTTTTACAAAACCTCTTGCTCGTGATCGGTTTTTCAAAATTCGCACTGAATTAGGCATTTTAGATGCATCAAACATTACTTAGGTTGCAAATCTAGCTGTTTTTATCAATAAAAAAATCTTTTAAATCGATTAAAAGAATTTATACAACATTTTTCTTTACTGTTTTAATCGATTAAAAGTCGAATTAATCGATTAAATGCACTTATGTTTCATATTTTCAATGTCCTTCACTGTTTTAATCGATTAAAACTTTATTCCAATCGATTAAAACCATTGACAATAACTTTTTAATCGATTTTGTCCTGTTTTTAATCGATTTTTATTCTGGAAAGAAAAATTAAAGGCTTTAGTTAATAGCTGTTCTTGTAACATGCTACTAAAGCGTGATTCCCTTATCTTTACACGTGTTAACTGTATTCATTACAAACGTGTTAATGAAGATAAGT